ATTTTTCAATGGTATTTAGACCACTGTGCGGTCATCAGTTGGACGAAAAGACCAAATGACAACAACAAACAGCAGTGCAACACTGACACTAACCCAGTTTTTTTTTCTTGCTTTTTTTCTGTTTTGTCCTCCAATCGGATCAGTGGCATTGGTATTGGTATTTGTGTCTGTGTTTGACCAGTGGCCATGTGTTGGAGCATTTTGTCCGTTTCGTTTTGACCAGTATCATTGTCAATAGCACAGGGTCAACATGGCAAGGGGTTAAAGCGGCTAGTTAAGAGAGAAGATGGAGCGGAGGACACTGTGGAATTTCGCAACATAAGCGGGGGAATTAAAGCAAAAGGAGGAAATAGGAGAAGAATAGAAAATATCTTAGTTCTTGAAAACTTTCTTTCTTATCACATTTTACTGCACAATAAAAAATATTCTTTCATGTCTTCATCTGCCGTTGCATTCAATTTTGCAGCTTTCTTTTCATTTTCATATTTCGTTTTTTATTTAATCTTTGTTTTGGTAATTTTGTTGGCCAAAACTTGAGTTCATATTTTGTTCTAGGGCCACGCCCACTCACCGAAAACGCCCCCACAGTTACAGCAGCCGCCGGCACCTTAATGCAAATAGTTAGATTGTTTTTCCCAAAAAATACCCCGTGGCAATTAAAGGACAAAGGGTATGCTGAGCTTCGAGTTTCTTCTGAGGGAACTAAAACTGTTAAAAAGGTTTAAAGGAACTCATAAGGCAATAAATAGTATCTTATATTATAATATTTAGTTTCAAATATGTTCAAACTATTTTTAAAAAATGTTTTGTCTATCGAAAAATCCTTAAATCTTTTTCAAGACTTCAGGGTACCTATAGAATCGGCCTTTATAGAATTGGCCTTTAAAGCTGTGATTTGGCTAAATATATACTCCCTAAGATTAAGCGACACTGGCGAAGTGAAAAGAAAACTAGATTGCAGAAGGGAAGTTGGAAGAAAAGCGCTCGTCGCGTCTTTTGCATTATTTTATGGCCTCAAGCAAATGATTTTTCTTTGCCAGAGTTTCTGGTTAAACTTTTTCGCTGCCAAGGAAGTTGGTTCTTTTTTTCCTCTTTTTTTTTTTGGGTGTGTGAGGGTGCATATTTTTGCAAACAATTTTCAACTTTTACTCCTTTATGGTATTTTTTCGGTATTTTTGTTGTACTCTTTATCTGGCGCTTTGTTTCCCCTTTTGTTTGGCCAGAAAACTTTGTACTCTGCAAAGTTGCATTGAAAATATTTTGGATTATTCAATTATGGCCAGCTAAAGATGATGCACCCCCTTTTCTGTTCTTTCTTTCTCTTATTTTTGCAATTTCAACTTTTCATTTTTTGGCTGTAAAGATTGCGCTCGTAAATCGCCCAGTTCTCCGGGGACTGTCATTAAAGTTAGATGGAAAAGGACCAAGAACAAGACGAAAATGAAGACTAAGAAGAAGTGAGGGAAAAATCGGAACAGAGAAAGCGATACTGGTGGGGAACGAGAAGGATATAGCTTGTTTTCTGTGCGGGGCTTTTAAAATGAGAACACGACTGAAATGAAATGCCATCAAGTGAATGACGAAAGTCACGTGCCAGCGGCTGACGGAAAACAATTCCAGCGAGTGCCAACATTCAGCTGTGGCATGCCTCAAACTCAAACGCAAAACTAGAAGTGTGCGACAGTCTACACTTCTCAAAATTTAGGGCACATCAATCAAAGAACAGCAGGGGAAAATATTTAATTTTAATGGGTTTTAAACAGAGAAAGGGTATTGCAATACTCAAGATATGCTTTTAAATCTTTTATTATAATTATTATGTTAGTATTTCCTTCAGATCACTTAAATATTTCACATTTTTAAGCCACAATTAATGGTATATATTTTCGGTGCAGGCTTTTGTCACCTGCCCCGTCTGGGATGTGGACAGATTGTGACATATGACGAGTGTCTACCACTCGCTATCTGCCTCGCTTCCTTTGGTTCCTCCTGCTCGCTCCTTTGGCTGGCATGTTGGGACATTCCATTGCGGAAATTATGTTCCAGCATACCAATATACAAAAACACATACGTTCAAGTACAGAGAGTATTTATTTTGAAGCTATGATTTATGGTTTATTAATTTATCAAGGGGTTTTGAAATCACTTGTAAAGGTGTCTAAAAGTAGGCAACGGTATTTCAATCTTTTCTATTATTCATTGCATACTTTTAGACACCTTTTTTTAAGGTGAATTAAAACTTCTAATTTCTCCATTTCTATTTAACAATATAGATAAGGCAGTTAATTTTTTTTAACATTTAATTTAAGTGTTGTTTCATTCGAGTGCCCACTGTAGCTTCACGGCGATGTCGCACTCACGCACATCCATTTGAGGCTGACATTCCTGCGCCGGTGGCACGTTTTGTGCGACGTTTGCACATTGCCAGGATATAACTTGATGCTTAATGAAGACATCCAAACACACACTCACACTAAAACAGCAGCAATAAAGCCAGATGGATGAGTGTGCGTGTGAGCGTGGGCCAAAAGAATACCAAAATTATTCAATCAATCAGTCAAATCCATCAAGCAATTTCCGTAAATTAGTCGACTTGATGATTGAGATACTTTGCTCTTTTTGCCAGTGCTTAGCCAACCACTTGAATTTAAAATCAGCTATGGTTTGGGGTTATATACTTGATATTATATAATAACTAAGGATAGCAAAGTTATAAAAATTTTAAAATAATAACTAATTAATTTGGAATATTTCTTAAACAATTATACGGTTACCACTTTCATTTTAATATAATTCCTCTTGCGTTTCCGCACGCACTTGACATTTCTGCATGCCATCCATCAATCTGAGCTGCGGCTCATTAAATCACGCAAAATCTGAGAGGAAGAAGAAGAAACAGCCCGAGGCGAAAGCACAAAAGTTGCTTCCATTCCAATGCCTGTTGACCTCTGTCCTTCTGCCTTCGTCCTGCTGCCGCCATCCTTTATCCTTGCCCCTTTTCTCACGCTTTCCGGCAGCTGTTGTAATCCGTTTAAAGTGTTTTTGCGGGTTGTAAACATTTCGACTTTTAATTCACTGACAGCGGTTCTTCATCCTCTCCCTCTCTCTCTGTCTCTTGGCTTACTGTATATACCTTTCTCTTGCTGACCACCGGCTTTGGGGTTTTCCGGAGCTTGTGGGCGGCATGGGGGCGTGTTCCCGGATAAATGGTATTTTTTATTTTTATTCGCAAGCTGTCTGTTAAGAGTGTAATTCGCAAATAAAACATTGCTAATTAGGTTGGCTCGAAAAAAAATAAAGAAGCAGGATAATGCAAAAAAAAATGTAAAGAAAGAAAAATCTTTAAAATAATATTTTTTTTTTAAATATATTACGAATTTAAAAGAAATGACAGAATAAAATATTTAATTACTATATTTAACACTTAGAAGAAAACATTAAGATACCAATTTTCCACTAATAAATTATCCCAATTTGGAAAAAAAATGAACTGCCAAATTAATTCAATCACTTCCTACATGCTTAACCCCTAGTCGACCCCGACCTTCACCTCAGTGCCGACCTTAACCCTTAATAGGGCCAGATTTAAGCGTTGCGTGATTTGAGCCCAAACATTTAGGGGGTTAAAAGGGGTGGCGACTTGGGGAGGATTGGTGGAAATGTTTTCAGTAGGTTATGTCAACGCGTTGGACTTTAATTAATTACCGGGAAAATTGTTAATATTTGTTCAGCCCTCGCTTGCTCTTTCCCTCTCCCTCCCTCCCTCTCCCACTTCTCGCTGGGAAAGTAAACACGGGGAGTAGGGGAAGAGTAAGGAGAAGGTGGGGTCCTTGGTCCTTGCTGAGTGCTTTGTCCTGTGGTCGTAATTTAATTTTTGCAAAAAATACCCAAATGAAAGCCACACTATAAGAGAGAGGGAGATGGCGACAGAATGGCGCTCCAAAGTATGCAATGCCGAATTATGCTGTGTGTGAGCGAGTGTGTGTGCGTGTGTGTGAGAGCGGAAGTACATGGCAAAATGCAAAATAGCAGAGGCCACACCAATGCAAACACACACGCACACAGCCGCGCACCAACACAGGTGCATAGCCAAATACTTGCACTAAACCAAAAATTTAAAATAAAAATAAAGAATGGAGCTAGTGCCTTATTGAAAACATTCAAATCGAATATATAAATTACCTAAAATTATAGAAAAATTCTATAAATAAAATATTTATTATGAAGAAATAAAATATTATAGGAATATTGATTACACTTTACAGCTTACATTATTTTATTATTTTTGATGAATTTATTTTATTTGTATTTTAAATATGATTTTATTTAGTTTGTCTTTTAAAATAAAGATAATATTTTAATACTCTTCCCTTGTTAAACAGTTTCGAAAAAATAATATTTTTAAGTATAGAATACTCTCCAGAATACTTTTAAAACCCCTTTATCCGTTTACACAGAGTAATGCGAATGAAAAAGATTTTCCGCTGTCCATTTCATTAACATTTCTGCGGCCACCGCCAAGTACGTGACTTTCTAGGTGTGTATGCGAGTGGAACTGGGCGATATTCAATTGGAAAAAAGGGAAAATCAACGCAAACACACAGTCGCACTGACGTATGCAAACATTTCAAGCCGAGTTGAAAGCGAGAAACTAAATATGAAACGAATTTCCACGAAGGCCAAATATTAAGCAAAGCAGAGAGTAAATATAGAAAATATACGTGAATTTTGCGCAAATCTGCATATTGTATCCATGCAAAATGATTGCGATTTGTTTGAGGGTTCTTTAGCTGTTGGCTGTGTTGCATACGCAAACGATTTCTATTTTCCATTGCACTTTTCAAATTGAAAAGCAAAATAAATCCTTGATTTATTGGGTATTTAATCTTAATTTTTTTTGTTTTTAGCCCACAGGGAAAATCTATATAAAATCTATAAATTTATAGATTAAAATATATATTATAATATAAAATTAATTTTTAATTTTTCCCCCTTTTCAGATGATGGAGCATGCGTGGCACAACTACAAGTTGTATGCCTGGGGCAAGAACGAGCTGCGTCCGCTATCGCAGCGCCCGCATTCGGCCAGTATCTTTGGATCCTACGACCTGGGCGCCACGATCGTCGACGGCCTGGACACGCTGTATATCATGGGACTGGAGAAGGAGTATCGCGAGGGTCGCGACTGGATCGAACGCAAGTTCTCGCTGGACAATATTAGCGCCGAGCTGAGTGTCTTCGAGACGAACATTCGATTTGTGGGCGGCATGCTGACGCTGTACGCCTTCACGGGCGATCCGCTGTACAAGGAGAAGGCCCAGCATATCGCCGACAAGCTGCTGCCCGCCTTCCAGACGCCCACGGGCATTCCCTATGCGCTGGTCAACACCAAGACCGGTGTGGCCAAGAACTACGGCTGGGCGTCCGGCGGCAGCTCCATCCTGTCCGAATTCGGCACCCTGCACTTGGAGTTCGCCTACCTGAGCGACATTACCGGGAATCCACTGTACCGGGAGCGAGTCCAGACCATTCGCCAGGTGCTCAAGGAGATCGAGAAGCCGAAGGGCCTGTACCCCAACTTCCTCAATCCAAAGACGGGCAAATGGGGACAGCGTAAGTTTGTTAATCTTAAATATTTAAATTTTACGAACGGCGAAACTTGAAAGTAAAATGTAATATAAATTAGATCATAAATAATTGGAAAATAATTACAATTTGTAGCAATTTAAATTCTTCAATACAATTTTTCTAATAATAATCATTTTTACAGAATCTTAACAGATTTTTTAAAGCTGTTAATTCCATTTTGTTGTGTTTTTTAATACCTTTCAAAATGTAGAAGAAAATTTAATAATCGGATCATTTATTAAAAAGTTATGAGTAAAATAAATGCAAGCTTAAGGTTAATGAAATGCAAGCAGTGCAAGCAGTTGATTTAATTCTTGCATAACGGCTATCTGATAGTCGAAGAACTTTTTCTCTTGTTAGATATCTAGATTGGTCTTACTTATTACTTTAATTTAAGAGACGATAATACTAAATTTCCCTTTTCCCCACAGTCCACATGTCCTTGGGCGCCCTGGGCGATAGCTACTACGAGTACTTGCTGAAGGCCTGGCTGCAATCCGGGCAAACGGACGAGGAGGCCCGCGAGATGTTCGACGAGGCGATGCTGGCCATTCTGGACAAGATGGTGCGCACCAGTCCCGGCGGCCTGACCTATGTCTCCGACCTCAAGTTCGATCGGCTGGAGCACAAGATGGACCATTTGGCCTGCTTCTCGGGTATGTATGCTTGCCTACTGGAAACTATAACTATATATTAACGAATCTTCTCTACTTTTAGGTGGCCTCTTTGCTTTGGGAGCTGCCACGCGTCAGAATGATTATACAGACAAGTACATGGAGGTGGGCAAGGGCATTACGAACACCTGCCACGAGAGCTACATTCGAGCACCCACTCAGCTGGGCCCCGAGGCCTTTAGGTAAATTAACTGCTACCCAAAAATGCAGAATGGTATACTAATATCCCTCATCTATGCAGATTCAGTGAAGCCGTGGAGGCGCGAGCTCTGAGATCGCAGGAGAAGTACTATATCCTCCGGCCGGAGACTTTCGAGAGCTACTTTGTGCTGTGGCGCCTCACGCACGACCAGAAGTACCGCGACTGGGGCTGGGAGGCGGTCCTCGCCCTGGAAAAGCACTGCCGCACGGCGCACGGTTATTGCGGCCTGCGCAATGTCTACCAGCAGGAGCCGCAGAAGGACGATGTCCAGCAGAGCTTCTTTCTGGCCGAAACACTCAAGGTGAACTGGTCACTTAAAAACTGAGATTAATCCTGAGACTAACCCTATTTCAATTGCAGTACCTGTACTTGCTGTTCTCAGACGACTCGGTGCTGCCGCTGGACGAGTGGGTGTTCAACACGGAGGCCCATCCGCTGCCGATCAAGGGGGCGAATGCGTACTACAGACAGGCGCCCGTCACGCTGCCGGCCTCGAATGCCTCGTAAACGGGCGCCCTGCTGCGCCGCTGGCTGTTCGGCCTGTCCCTAGCACTGCACCTTAATTAGTTCTCGAAAATTGCATAGATATATGTGTACGCGATCGCAACTCTATTTTTTTTTTCTTTGTCCTAAGTTTTTAGTTAGTTTACGTGATGATATGATGATACGATGACAACTGCGTACGAAAGATATTGTATGTTTACAAAAAAAACCAAGTACATACGAGATACTTTCAATGTAACATATTTATAAAGCTTGCACATATATAGGAACTTAAACTTAAACGGATATATCGTAGTTTAGTCCTTAACTGTTTGCACAAGTTTCTCCGAGTCTCTCTCTCTCTTTTTTATTTACCTTATGAGGTATAAGGTATATTATAATCCAAATAGTTGACTGAGGTGGAAGGCTGGTAAAAAGGAGACCTCAATTTCCATTTAAAAGCGAATGACGTAGGCGTAGGCAAACACTCTTGATATTAATTATGATATGATATACGGATATATGTATGTGTAAATGTAAAACTCAGGTGTTCTTATTATGATTTACCTTGCGCTCACACAAGGCTCTTTCTCACTAACTCTCTCAGCTACGTAACTATCTCTACAGAAGCATTCTATACGCAATTCTCGATCTGCATCTGCCACTATATCTCGGTGTGGATTCATGGATCGATAGGTCTACTGATAGATCTGCTGATTTCTGATTTCCAATTCGAATCTTTGACCACTTTGTTTTGTATATAATTTCTATTGACTTTCCTCGCAAAATGAAGGCAGAAGAAAATCGAATTGATATTTATACAAGTATATTCTTACACATTATTGTTTACCTTGTAGCCTAAATATTTAAATATAAATCTAATATAGAGTCTAGCTTACTTTATGTGACGAAACAAATGTAACGCGAATTACCTTAAATCCAGAACATCAAGCGAAACGAAAGCAAATGAAATATATATAAAAATATACCTAAATAAATATATATTTGTATTTAATTAAATCAAATAAAACGTAGGCAATTGTTAAAATAAATTAATTGTCCCGGTAGCCCACCTTGTTGTACAGCTGGATAAGTTTCTCGCCATTGGGATGCTCGAGCTCAGTCAGCTGCTCCTCCAAATACTGGGCCAGGCCAAAAACGTGCCTAAAAAGAGGGATTTTCTGTATAAATGATATAATATAATGTATATAGGGTAAGAATTTCTCAACTGCGCATATGAAATATTAGATTTTCTTCAAGCTCGGGTACCTCGAAGAGTTTGCCTTGGTTATCATCTGTGATTTTTTTGAAATTTTGTGGTGTCAATTTAGTGTTTTCAAACTTTAAATTAGTATATCTCGGGAAAGGTAGAGGAACAGGCAGATTTAATCACAAAATGATGGCCATTTCTTTTTCTAAAGAAATTTTCGTTTGAATTATTTCGGAATTCATGCCATTCATTCATTTAATTCTATTAAACTCAAAATTTAAATTCATTCAATTCTATTAAACTCAAAATTCTAATTAATTCATTCATACAAAACAAAAAATTTAAAATAATTCATTCATTCATTCAATTCTATTAAACTTAAAACTCAAAATTCATTCAATTAATATCATAATTCTAATTAATTCATTCAAGCAAAACAAAAAATTCAAAATAATTCATTGAACCCATTCTATACTCTGTACTCCTAGTTACCCACCTGGAGATCCTCTCCATGGTGCCCAGTCCCTCCGCCTTGGGCACCAGTCTCTCCAGCGTGCGGAATCCCTCGAGCAGGGCGACAATGGACAGAAAGGGCAGGGTGCCGTCCTCGTAGCGCTGCTGAAAGGACTCCCGCAGCTGGTGGTCCATGGCATGCGGATAGGCATAGTTGATGGTGCCGCCGCCAAAGAAGCGACGCTTTCCGAAGGCCTCCGCTCCGCGACGACTCACGAGGAGGGCTCCCACACCCGTGGGATAGCCAAAGATCTTGTAGAAACTCAGACAAACATAGTCCGGTTGGTATTTGTGCAGATCCAAGGGACTGGTGGCCACAAAGCAGGCGGCATCCAGACACACATAGTAGTCGTTGTGCGTAGTATCCTTCTTCTCATCCCCAGAACCCCAAATTCGTTTGCCCGCCTGCGGCAGACCATCCGTTTGGATCCTTCCTATGGCTTCCAGTGGGATTTTGTAGCCACTGAAGTTGCATTGGGCGGAAAAGGTCACCAGCGAGTTGCCCGTTCTTCTCGAGGATTCCTCCTGAAGCACTTTCCCCTTTCCGTTGGCCAATCCCGCAGAGATTTCCGCCTCCTTCAGCATGTATATACCATTGGCCCGGACCCTTTCGCGCATCCCCAGCACTGAGGTGTGATTCTCCTGGCAGAAGTGAAAGTCTCCCGAGGATCCAAAGTCAAAGTTATCCGCCACCAAGGACAGAGCAGCTGTCGCATTCGCCGTGAAGATCACATGGTAATCCTCGGCGGTGGTGTTGAAGAATTCCAGAACCCTGAAAAGATTAGTATTTATTAAATCTCATAAGTTAAGAAAATCATATATTTATAAATGAGATAAAAGACAACGGTCCTGGAATATCATGGTATAAAGAAATAACTAAATTGTTTGGGATCTTTTAATATCATCATAATTACAAAGTTTCAAATAATTCCTTGTAGACTAGACTGAATATATACATAAGCTTATTAAGCATTGCTTTGACATGAAAAAATTAATTAATTTTATAAATAGAACAGAAAACTGGTTTTCGCTATATGTTTTTTTTCGGTGATCTTTAAACCAGATTGTTTATTATATTCTGTAGAAGTTAAGGGAAAAAAAAGTATGAATTTTTTTAATATTTAAGTTAAGAGAGTTTTAAAGGTAATAAAGAATATATTTTTATGGAATGTTTTTATGATACTGAATACTAAATATTAGATCAGCATTCATGTTTGTTTTAAAAAGTGCGGATAGTTTTACAGAAAAACAGTTCTAATTATACGAAATTTGAGTTATAACACTTCTAAAGTCTATAAACAACATATTTCTATAGAATGTTTTTATGATAATGATTCGTTTGTTTCTTATTTTTTTTTGCTAGATGTTTTTTTTTCTGCGATCTTTAAACCAGATTGTTTATTATTTTTTTGATATTTAAGTTAAGATTTTTAAAGGTAATAAATAATATATTTTTATAGAAGGTTTTTATGATACTGAATACTACATTTTAGATCAGTTTAAGGGACAAAACGTATGAATAATTATACAGAAAATAACTTCTAATTACAAGAAATTTAAGTTATAAAAGTTTTAAATTCTATAAACAACATATTTATTTAGAATGTTGTTATGATAATGGTTCTTTTGTTTATAATATAAGGATTTCCCTTGAACCACATGCCATATCTCCTATAAGACCCCCGCAAGGGAAACCCAATGACGGAATATCACTAAATATATGGTATTGTTCCATGATTTCTGGACACGGTTGAACTCACTTGAAGCGCACCTGGTCCACGAAGTCGCCGGTGAGGCGGCAGGTGTGCGGATTGCAGATGACATTCCGCTGCAGTTGCTCCGCGGCGGCTTTCACCTGGTTCTCGGCATATAGAGTGGTGCCCGCATGATCCAGGTAAACACTCTTGTTCTCTGTGCGATAGTTGGTTAGTTTCGTTATCTGCCTATGGGTATTTCACCATGATATTCCACTTACTGGCCAATCTAGAGAATTCCGCGTCGATTCTCAACTGCTCCGATGTGGAGAATTCCGGGCGATATAGCGACATGTTGGGAACTGTTGGAGTTGCTGGGGAATCGGGCTTTATTTATTTGCCACCGGCCAGCCATTAATCGCCGCATTTGTTGCGCCATACTCTTTCCAAGGAAAAAACAAATGACTGTAGACATTAGCTATCAGTTTCGGTTGGTTGACTACAGATGTTCCATTGAGTATTATTTCACATGTGTTTTGGTTTAATTTTTTCTGTGTGTTTTTGTTGTTTTCTTTTTTTTTTCATTAAATAGTATTTGTAAAAAAGTTAAAAATGTTATTATTTTATGGAATCAACTATTTTGTATCTAAAATTTATTTGAGTAATTCTGGATTTCCATTTGACTTGGATGTCTTTATACAGAAGAGGTTTTTTAAATTTTCAATATTATTAAGCATATTTTATGTATATATTTGTAGGTTTTTTTTACTTAATTTTAAACAACTTGTGCTAAATGTAAGTACTACAAATGTCTTAAATTGAAATTTGAAATATATTTTTAAATACAATACGGTATTTAAAATTCACCATACAAATTTATTGATTTTTTTCAAAGATTTTAAATATATTTGTAAATATCATAGGGTATTTACTAGTCACCTTGCTAGCAACCTGTTTTTTTCAATCATATGTTCACAGCTGTTTCTTTTATCGATATCGATTGTGGCCGATAACAGTTTGCGTTGGATTTTAAAGTTATTCCCTTGTAATTTCACAATTCCAAAAAGTTAACCCACTAATTGAGTGCAAAATGGAGAAATTCGTGCGGGACACGTTGTCCAAGTGTCTGGACTGCGTGGTCACGGATCAGATGATGTCGTAGGTACCGGATATTCCCAGATAAATGCCTTTCTAACCGGGTCAATCTCCTCCAGCGCCATCCTGAGCATCAAGGATGACTACGAATTTGATAGTTACTTTGGGAATCTGCTGAGCGAGGACAACGAGGAGCATCGCCTGTTCCTGCTGAACTGCCGCCGGATGCTGCTGAGTGGCAAGCAGCCGCGGAACAACGCGAAGAGTCGCACGCCCACCAAGCAACTGGCGGCCACTGGTCAGATCCATCAGAATCCCGGCCAGGGTGCCAAGGGAAAGGCCGGAAAGTATGTGAATCTGTATGCCAGCGATGGCCGCGTCCAGGGCGACACCATCTTGCTGAAGGGCCGGCGGCACTGCGACTGCCAGGCGGCCCAGCACAAGCTGATCAACAACTGCCTCGGCTGCGGGCGCATCGTCTGCGAACAGGAGGGCAGTGGTCCCTGCCTCTGCTGCGGCGATCCCGTCCACACGGCCGAGGAGGAGCAGCAGCTGGCCAAGGCGGCCAGGGAGAAGGGAGGCGGTAGCTCAAAGGCGGCCACTAAACAGGGCAAAAAGGCCAGCAAGGAGTCCGCCAAGGAGGCGCTGGACAAGGCGTTGGCCCAAAGGGATCGCCTGCTGGAGTACGACAAGAACAGCGAGAAGCGGACCACGGTGATCGATGATGAACTGGACTACTTCCAGGTGGGTACAGGCTTCATAGCAGGGTTCATGTTAGAAACATGAAAAATTGTATTTTACAGTGTGAGCAAAATTGTTGACATCTGTGTCAAATACAAAGGGGTTAAAATGTGAAAAATAATTGTTAGCACACACAACTCACTTGTGTTTTTAACATGACGTGTTTTTTACACACTGTGTTTTTAACACAAATGAAAATTACATTTTACTGACATTAACGAGTCGAAGTAAAAATGAAAAACTAATATGGGGCACGATATCTGTTTTAACCATTTCAAAGCATTTATAAATTCTTATACTCTGGATAACCGTGAATATTTTCAATTTTTTAATGTCAAAAACTGATCGTGTTAAAAACACGCTGTGTAAAAAAACATGTCGTGTAAATAACACAAATGACATGTGTGTGTTAATTATGTTTCTAGCATTCATATGTAGGATACAATTTTTTACACACAAGTTAATAACTTTTTTAACATGTAAATAACACAAGTTTTTTACAGTGTGTGTTATTTTCCGAACCATGCATCTTAGCTTTGTAAGATCATCTATTAATTGTATTATTTGCCTTTTCCAGGAGAACTCCGTTTGGCTGAGCGACGCGGAGCGCGAGAAGTTCGAGAAGCTGAAGAGCGAGATGCAGGACATGAAGCACGGCAGTCGGTTGAAGCGCAAGATTCGCGTGGACTTTGCTGGCCGCGAGCTGCCCGAGGAGCCGACCATTTCCAAGGAGTACGAGCAGCAGGTGATCAGCGAACTGGCGGCGGTCACCAAAGCCTCGGGCGGCGCCTCCAACTGGAGTGCCAACTCAATCACCGGCCACTCGGCGCTCTCGCTGGCGCCCAATTTGGACATGGCCAAGCCGCCGGTCTACAGGCAGAGCAAGGAGTCCAAGAGTTGGCCCGCCCCGGCGGCGGCCAGCGATGGTCTGGAGCGGATCTACAATCGGGTGCAGGACAAGGAGCTGCTGGAGATGCAGGACATGCGCCAGTGCCTGTCGATGCACCAGCCATGGGCTTCGCTTCTAGTGGCGGGCATTAAAAAGTGGGTTGCTATTTTCCTGAATTTCCTATACCCTATAATACTTTTCTCATAGGCACGAGGGACGAGTGTGGTACAGTGAACACCGTGGCCGACTTTGGATAGCCTCCACCTCCAAGGAACCGCACAGCGAGGACATTGCCCAAATGGAGGGCTTCTACAAGGTGCTTTACGGCGGTAAGTTTGGCATAATAAAAACGAAAAAATCTCAAAAATAACTTGTAATTTGTGCTCCCTAGATCCCGATATCAAGTTCCCCAGCCATTATCCCACCAGCAGTCTGCTGGGCTGCGTTCACGTGGACAGTTGCCTGCCGCAGGAGGAGTACCGCGAGGCCTTTCCCAACGGCGAGTCGGAGAGTCCTTATGTGTTTGTCTGCACCAAGCCGGAGCAGTTGAATATTCTACTGCCCGTTCAAGGCGATCACAAGATATGTATGTTGTAAATAATTTATAGTTTTAATTTCCTTTCGTTAATACTTCATCATTTCCAGATGAACTCCCTCTGAAAACCCACACAGCCGCCTGCAAAACGTTGCTCAGAGCCAAAGCTAACAAGGGTTAATGTTAAGGATCAAAATCATTCGTGTACGTTTAATGCCAGAATAGCATCAGAAAACCTAGATAAGTTGTCGTTTTTTTCCTGTAACTTGCCCAAAAATGGTCTTACACTAAAAATAAACACTGTTTTGAACAGATAACAAAATAATAAATAAATCCTTGATACTGTCCGGGTGATCTTAAAAAAATAAAATTTTCGCCAATTTTCAATTTTTTTTTAAGGGGGTACATCATGATTTTTTACGAAAAATGGCAAAAAAATAAAATGTCCAGGTTTAAATGTCAATCGATTGGAAATTTAACAACGAGTTCAAAAAGGTATGACAATCCATATTTGGATCAGTACTTCCATTGTTACGGTCAAAAAACTTGCCCATAAGGAAGCATAAGGAACAAAAATTAACTAAATAAATCCACATAAACTAATTAGTTTAAAAATAAAATTTTTTTTAATTTAAATATATTTTTTTAAGTGCAACGATAGACGATAGCGATTATTTAGCGACAGCTGTTGCTGAAGCGCTACTTTTATTTCTGTTTTGATTACTTTTATGTAATGGTGAAAGTATGGTGAAAGTGGAGGTGGAATACTGGTAAGGAATCTCCCTTCCAACTGCCAAAATCCAGTTAAATAACAGTAGTAAATCATCCTGCAGCGGCATCTGCAACTTCAGCGGACAGTGCCACCTGCTGCGCGACTTCCTGCTGGCCTCGTCGCCCGACTTGGACGTATCCTGCCGCCAAGGACGCCGCGGATCCTTCGAGGTGGCCATCGACGGCCAGCTGGTGCACTCGAAGCTCTCCTGCCTGGCCTTTCCCCAGCACGCCAGTGTCCTGGCCCAGGTCCACAGGGCGGAGCGCGGAGAGCCCGTCGAGAAGGTCCTGGAGCAGCCCATCAAGGACTGCAGTGTGATGTGATGGTTAATTAGCCCGTTTACAAACTTAGTCTATTGGAATGTGTTAAATTTAAGGGGAAAATCCGTGTGATAAGAGGTTTTTCGAATGTAAATAAAGGATATTTTAGAAACTATTCCTAAACAAATTGTTCAGTTCTTCTTTGCTCTCTTGGTAATACTATATAAGGTTTTTCGATACAAATAACACTTGATATGGGCTATTTTAAGAACTTTTCCTAAAATAATATTTAAAAAGTACATTAATTCGTAGCTTTTTACTTTCTTGAAAATATTTGATCAGGTTTATGAGGTTTTTTGTTATAACTCACACTTAATAAAGGATATTTAAAGAACTATTCCTAAACAAGTATTTCAAAGTACATAAATTCATAGCTCTTTACTTTCTTGATAATATATTTAATGGAACTTCTAAACAAAGAGCTTTTAAAAATCCTATTAAATGAGCAATACCTCTTTCTACAATTTCTGTTCTTACATTTTATTTGGGACATTAAAATAAGGGCTAAAAAAAAATGAAGGTTGTTTCTAGATAATATATTTAATGGAAATTCTAGACAAAGAGCCTTTAAAAATCCTATTAAATATTCCAACGATTTCTGTTTTTACATTTTATTTCGGGGTACAAAAAAAAGAGGAGGTTCTTTCTTGATAATAATTAATATAACTTCTAAACAGAGAGCCTTAAAAAACCATATTAAATGAGCAATACCTCTTCCAAAGAATTATGTTCTTACATTTTATTTGGGACATTAAAATAAGGGCTACAAAAAAATGATGAGGTTCCATTGCGATAATATACAATCGCCTCAACGCCTGTAGCGATATCGCTTGAAGTGGAACCAGAGCTGAAAGATGTTGTTGTGGAACTGGCAGCGGAAGCCGCGCTTGTAGCTGAACTCCCACTCGCGGTTGACGATCTTGAAGGCGATGTCCTCGTACGGCGGCCCGGTGTGGAAGCGCAGCACGGCAAAGTCACCATTATCCGCGCAGGGCGTGAGGAAGTACTGCGGCGTCTGCGACTTGTCCATCAAATCCGGATAGAAGATGTTGAACTTGTAGCCCTGCACGATTTTCGGTGGCGGATTGTCCATGTCGTAGTGCGTCTGATTGTACTTGTTCCACTCGAATCCGGTGTGCACGCGATTGAAGTAGCGCGGCTTCCTCGGTCGGTACTTATCCGTGGCCAGCTGAGGCACTGCATCCAGCGTGGTCTCCACACTGAACTCGGCCTCGTCGCCCTGCATTCCCTGCCGCGCCTCGTTGCGCATGCGCAGCTCCTGCGGCGTCAAATGGTTGGTGTCCACGCGTTCGGGGTGCAAGATTAGCAGGCGCTGTCTTTGGGTTCGCCTCTCGTCGTCCTCCTCCTCGTAGAGAGCGCCCTCCGCCTCCGGCTCGTCGTCCTCCTCGTTCTGCACGCGCCGCCCGGTGAACTCCTCCTCGCGTATGTAGCGCGGACTGTAGTTGCCCGCCTGGTAGAGGCGCACTGCGTCGCGTAGCTCCTTCAGCGGGTCGTCCTCTTCGGAGGGAGCTTCCTCTACCTCCGATTGGGTGTCCATCTGCTGCTCCTCCTCCTTAACCGGCGGCGGCACCTCCTCCTGCGTCGTCTCATCCTCGTTCTCGCGCTTCAGCAGCAGCAGCTTCTCGCGCAACAGCGACTGATGGCGATCGCGCAGTCGAGCGCGGGCCATGTGCGCCTTCAGCTGCGAGAGAAGGCTCTCCCAGTAGCTGATGTCCACGCCATCGGCTCTTCCGCTGATTTTGGCCTCGATGCGCTGGCGCATCTCCTCCAGCTGCTGGGCATTCTTGCCCCTGAAGATGTCGGCCACATCCTTGACCACCGCCTGGTGGATGCCATCGCGTCGCTGGTTGAGCGACTGCGTTTCCGCCTGCAGCTTCTGCTGGCGCTGCAGTTCGTCCTGCACAATGGTGATCATGTCGTTCCAGAAATCAATGTGCTTGCCCTGCTCCAGCTCCTCGTAGACCTTGATGTCCACCAGCAGATCCTCCAGCTCCTCCATGGGCAGGCCATTGAGCAGGACATAGGGTTCATGCATCTGCATCTCGAGGGATTCCTCGAGCGGCGCATTCCCGGCGGCTACATATTGAGCCAACAGATCGATGGGTTTGGCGCGGCCATCGCGAATGCGAATCTCGCTGCGCAGACGAGCCTGTTCCAGGTGGAACTGATCCTCCTGGCGCTGCCATTCGCGGAACTGCACGGCCTCCTTGGCGCGCTGCTGCATCATCAGGTCATCCTCGCGCACCTGCCGTTCCAGTTCGCGTTCCTGGCGACGCTTCTTCACCTTCTCCAGCTCGCGGCGATTCTCCAGCTGCTTCTGCAGCGACAGCACCTCCACCGTTTTGCTGGACAGATTGGAGAGGCCCTCCACCTCGAGCTTCTTGCCCCAGTGGAAGGTGGAGGTCAAATTGGAGTCGCCAAAGGGGTTGTCCTCATTGGAGTACGTCTGGTACTCGTTGTCCCAGCCCATCCGCTCGCGACGCCGCTGCTCCTTGGCCTGCTTCTCGCGCAAACGGCGGGCGCGCTTCTCCTCGGGCGTCTCCTGGGCCTTCAGCTCGTCCTTTCGCCGCTGCCGGTCCTTCTGCTCGACGAGGCGGCGGGCTTCTAGAGTTTGGAGCAGCTTCATCGAGCTCTTGGCCAGTGGGGAGCGGTGGGCTGCGTTCGAGGAGGAGTTAGAGGAGGAGGATGAGCTGGAGGACCTGCGCCGCCTGCTCTTGTGCTCCCGCTTGCTGTCCTGCTTGTCCTTTTCCCTGCGGCGATCCTTGTCCTTGTGGTCCCTGCGATCGCGATCCCTGTTCCCGCTGCTCCTGCTGCTCCTCGCCTCCGGACTGCGGTGATCCCGCCTTTCCCGGCTGCGGCTGCGATGGCGGGACTTGCTCTTCTCCTTGGGCATCCTTTCTGCGGGGGATTTCTGGCGGAAATCCGGGGGAATTGTGAAATATAACAAAAAACAATGCAGTCGAACGGCGGTTATCGATAGGCAGCTGGGAACAGTCAGGGGTATTCCTCTAAATAATAATACCAAAGTATTTTTATAAAGTGCTTTAGTTAATTTTGTTTGATTTTTTTTCGATTTAATAATAATTTACTTAAGGATATCAAATAATAACCCTAATATTTAAATTAGTGGTATAATAATCAAAGTATTTTTAAAAGGTGCTTTAATTAATTTTGTTTGTTTTTTTATCGTTTAATTTGTTTCACCATTTAATTTAATTTATCTACTTAAGAATATCAATTAATAACCCTAATATTTAAATTTGACATGCAGAAACATCGATAGTCACCATTGAACTTCGAAGTTCAATAAAACATTCGATACATTTTTAGTTGTATCCAAACTATCGATAACTCATTACAAATCAGGATGGCAACGCTGCCGTAGTGCTGGCCAGAAATATCGATAGCGCGTCATCGGGAAGCCGTTCCGTTTCACCATCACTGGAGTGGCGAGTAACTTGTTATTAAAAAAACGTAAGCCCGTCAGATTTAAACGCGAATCTCGAAAAGGCCTCGATGGTTTGACGGCTCGGCTGCCAATTGAATCGAATCGTTCGGTTTGTGTGTGAAAAGTAAAAAGTGGCAGGTGAATCGCGGCGGGACCCCCTCGTCGCAGCCCCCCTCTCGCTCGCACACGCAGCTCCTGCTGCGGGGGAAACAACAAAAACACCAGGAAGAAGCGGCTGGGGTGCGAGCGAGATGGATAGCGGCGCGGGGGCGGAGAAAGGAGAAGAATGCCAAGGCGGAGAAAAATCCAAAATCAAAATCAAAAGATTCATCCCTTTTATGCTATGCTTTCCCCATCTCCTTTCTCCCATCAGCTGTGCTTCTCTTTTCTCCACCGTTCTTTTTTTTTTGTTGTTGCTTGCGTCTGTGTGTTTTTCAATCGTACGGTTGTTTGGCCAGCTAACGGTATTCCGTAATAAATGTTATTGTTGTCAGCCCGTTTTTTGTTGTTGCAAAATATTGCGTGTTCCTCTGCCTGTCCGCCCCCCTCTCTCACCAACTCTCTCTCTCGTCCCGTCCCTTTCTCGCCTGCAGTTTATGCATGGCCACGAAATCGTGATTTATTCTAGATCTCAAACGAGATAAAAAACGCAAATACACCGCAAAAAGTGCGAATTTAAGTGTCAAAATGTGCTTATGAATAAATTTCAGTGCTGGCTTGCAAGAGAGTGCTAAACATCATAATTTGAATGCCTAGTGATTCACTAAACAGTACAGTGCTTAAAAAAAGAATAAAATGAATCTGAATCAGTGATTCACAAAACATAAAATTAAACTTTAAGTTCGGATTAAAAATGTGCTACAGCATTAGTAGCCTTCCAAAGAAATAACATCGTTATCAAAATATTAAATTTTTGCTTCTACTGCCAAACACACTAAAAAATAAATCTGCACTTATTTAAGTAAAATGTGCGATATACAAAATCAGTAACAACTTGAGATTTTTATTTCAGTGCATTTTGTGCAAATTAGAGTAGTTAATTAAAATGACAAATGAGAAATCGCAATGCGAAATCATGATTTTTGCAATGCTACGCATAAACGCGTGTCTGTGTGTTTGCCACGTTGTTTGAGTGTGTGTGTGTGCTGCCGCTCTTCTTCTTTTGCCACGCAGCGACATCGCCTCGAATTACAATTACCTTTGTTTTTTGTTGGCATTTTTTACCTGTGCTTTTTTTGTTGCATTTCGTTTTCATTTCGTGTTCCTTTTTTTAGCCGTGTGTGTGTGTATGTGTATGTGAAAACAACCGAAAATAGCCAATAATAACAATAACAATTGCACTGTCATCGAGTGAGAGCGAGTCTCAAAGGAGAGAGCGAGGGAGAGAGTAGAGAGAGAAAACCGGCAAAAAATAAAACAGCTGAGTGTATCCTGTTAAATAAATTATTAAAAAAAAACTACCCTGAAAATACTCAAACCCAAATCAAACTTAAATAATAAAAAATAATTTAAATAATTAACATTTAAATCCTTAAAAAGACTATAAAAATCCTTCTAACTAATGTTAATTTCCCTATTAAATAAACAGCATAAAGCATAAGAAATCAAGACTCCTGGAAAACAGAAAAACAAACCTTAAATGCCCGAGAAGACTGCAGTGAAACAATAAAAAAAAAACCCCAAAACAAGCTGCCAAACAGGATAACACGCCTAACTAAATAAGAAAACCAAAATCCACCATGTATCGCATCAGTCCAATTGGACGCAAATCGAACTTCCACTCGCGCGAGAAATGTCTGATTGGACTCGTCCTGGTAACGCTGTGCTTCCTCTGCTTCGGCGGCATCTTCCTGCTGCCGGACAACTTCGGCAGCGACCGCGTCCTGCGCGTCTACAAGCACTTCCAGAAGGCCGGTCCCGAGATCTTCATCCCGGCCCCGCCCCTCGCCGCCCACGCCCCCCATCGCAGCGAGGATCCGCACTTTATCGGCGATCGCCAGCGTTTGGAGCAAAAGATCCGTGCGGAATTGGGCGATATGCTGGATGAACCACCTGCGGCTGCCGGCGGAGGAGGAGGCGGGGAACAGCCAGGACAATTCCAGGCACTCGCCCAACAGGCACAAGCTCCCGCTCCCGTCGCCGCTCTAGCGGATCAGCAGGAGGCCGACGAGGAGGGTCAACAGCACGCCGCCATTCCCGTTCTGGCCGCTCCAGTTCAGGGCGACACTGCCGCCAGCCAGGTATCCGCCTCCCATCCACAAAGTCCCGCCCAGCAGAGCAACCAACAGCAACTGCCTTTGGGAGGCGGGGGGAAATGATCAGGCGGCGGACACACTGGACGCCACGCTGGAGGAGCGACGTCAGAAGGTCAAAGAGGTAAGTGGTTCGCACTCAACTACTCCAAGTACATGTAATGGGAGGTTTTCATATCAATCTGACATGTTTTGGTAGAAAAAATAATAATGGAGGATGATCATTTTAGAGATCTATACAAAAATCGTTATCATCATTTATGATAATATATCTTATTTTAATTTCAAAGTTAAGATCAGATAGTAAACAAAATATTGGGGGATAATCATTTTTGAGATATGTAAAAAAATCATATATCCTATTTTAATTTCAAAGTTAAGATTAGATAGAAAGCAAAATATTGGGGGATAATCATTTTAGAGATCTGTAAAAATCTTTATATGATTATATGATCATATATCTTATTTTAATTTCAAAGTTAAGACTTGATATAAATCATACATTATGGATATAAAAATCAAATAATTTAGGATCTTTTAGGATATAATTTCCATATATAATACTTTTTTTTTTTTTTTAATTTTTAAACGATTATCAGGTGCAATTTTATTAAATACAGTATTATATTATATTGACATAATCCCAAACTGATTATGAGTGGCAATCTTGGGAAGACAATACTTTTTATTCAACTCACTCTCGGGGGTTATCGCTCTGTCTTCCTCAACTCAGCTCGATTCGTACTCGTTTTGTTTTTTTTTTTCCGCGTCGCCTCTTTTTATTGCTCTAATTTGGCATTTATTTATTTTATTTCTTGGGTTGTGTATATTTTTCTTGTATTTTTTTTGCTACTTGGCAACGTGGGCAATTATCAACATTCCGCTATTTGTGTTTCCTCTGCTGTCAGTAGTCCCATTCCCCGACTATATATGTTGGTCCCCTTGCTCAACTTCCGCGGCAATCAGTGACGACTAATTGCTCATGGAGACGTCGGTCCAATGCAAAGAATGTCGCCCCGAAAGTTTTTCACGTTCGCCAACTCGAAGATGGGATTTTAAGAACAGGGTTTATACGTTCGGGAGGTATTACATAGATGATAACTTAAAAGAGGTTTATTTTAAAGAAATTTTAAGAAAACGATCATAGTTTTTTTTGTCATATTTATAAAGTTTTCTAGTTTAAAATCTGTTTTTTTTTAATTTAGAAAGTTTCCCGTCTTGACCATCATAGTTTTATATACATATTTATAAAGTTTTCTATTTTAAAATCTGTTTGTTTTTTAAATTATTTTTTTGCAATTTAGAAACCTTCTAGTCCTAACGATTATAATTTTATATGCATAGATATTATAGTACTTTTTAAATGTTTTTTTTTTAAGGTTTAATATACCCCCTTTTAGCCAATTTCTCCACAAAGAACCCATTTTTCCCGTCGACTTAACGCTAACGCATTCATAAATTCCATAACCAATTTGCAAGTCTCAGTTGTGTATATTTTTTATGCTTTCCTACGTGTCTAATTTTTTGCTCTGCCTCGCTTTTGTTTCTGTTTGATTCCACTGACCCAGAATCTCTGTTTCTGGCCTCAGGCGGTAAATAGAAAACAAAATCACCGGACTAATCATTAAAATCAGCGGGCAGCGAAACTGGCATCTCAAGAGCTGAAAAAAAACATGCTGAATTAAAAATTAAAAAGAACGAAGAATCAAGCGCTGATCGTCGTCATCATCAACGCCGCTGACGCCTTCGCTTTTGTTTTCGCTTCGGACTTCGGGTTCCACATTATTTCTCGTTCTAATTTATGGCTCTCGGAATTTGCGGAAAAAAGAATATGCGCCCAGTAACAAGAGGCAAATCAATTGAATTGAATATTCTTGAGAATATCGCTGAATCGTGACAACTTAGCTTGTCCTATTTTCCCAGTGTGGGTTTTACTTTTAGTCAACTTCAATTCCAATTAAAGTGAATTGCATCGGATATTCTGAGATTCGATCGGTGAACGAACCTCTGCCATTAATTTCCAGTTTCGCTTTCAACTCGTTAGAGAGAACAAATAAAAAGGTATCTCCGAATGAAATATTTCGGCTGCTGGCCTTGCCTCAGGGTAAATTTAATCCCTCAGCTCTGACCGATTTTTGCTTTTATTTCACCTTCGATTCGGGTTTTTCTGTATCTCTCTTCTGTATCGCAACGCGAGAATTGAAGTGTAACTTGCTGTTTGCTAAGGAAATCACCAAGATACGATCTGAGATATTTGTGTAACAGTTGAATAAATGACTTTAAAGT